CCAAGCCCCTGAGGCGAGCAGGGCGCAGCCTGCCCCCAGGGGCAGCAAGCCTTCCGGAGGCGCCCACAGTGCGGGCTTTAGGCGAAAAGGAGGCTAGAAATAAAGAAATAATCTTCCCCCACACCCGTCCAAAAAAATCCCCTCCCGTTGGGTTGGTTTAGGCAGCTCAGCCAGCCCTTTCCCTCCGCTTTTTACTAAGAGCGCAAAGTTTGGCAGTCCGCCGGGTCCTGGCTGCCCAAAGGCAGCGGTCAGAAATGGGTATTGAGGAAGCCTGGGAGACCACCCGTGCTCGCAGTCTCCGTCTACATTTGTACGTTCAGAAATGCCGAGAAGCGCTGAATCGGCCCGCTTCGGAGACAAAAACAAAGAAAACAATCCTATGGAGTCCAGAAAGCGATCCGTTTAGCTGCTCGTGCTGCTTGCGCTCATTTTCAGGGCTCAGACGGTTAGAAACTCATCTGCAAAAAGCCCAAACCAATATCGGATCCTTCCCAGCCCCTCCCCACACATCCAAGTTGCTGCAGGCTCAGGCTTCAAGGAGGATGTCACCTTTGAAATGACTAAAGAAATCTGATTGTGAAAGAGCGCGTTTAAAAATACAGCACAGGAAAGGCTGGCGGGGAGTCTGCTGGATTTTCCCCGCCCCCTTGATACTAATTGACATGAATCCCCCTAGACGCATGGGTAAAATACAGCGTAACCACTATTTCTCCAGCCAACTTTCCCTAGTCACTCATCATCCTAAAATTTCTAATTGTCCTCATTTATAGTTACATTGTTTTTTGTTTTTTTTAAACCCACCAAAACCGCCTGTTGTAGTACCCCAAATCCCACAAGGCAGCAACATCCTGAAAACATGCTCAGCACAAAGGGAAAAGGCAGACGGATCAGCCTTTGCACTTCTAAAGGTAAGGAAAAACTACGGCCCTCATCTCACTCTTGCTTTCAGATTGCATGTGCTTTGTGGAGAGCAACTGTGCGAAACCTGACCTGCGTTACTCTAGCTGAAATGAAGCAACAGTCCCTCGTCCTGCCACGTGAACCGTGTGGGAGTAGTGTTTTGCTGAATTAATCCCTTCCTAGTTCCTCCCATCTCCTAGGCAATAGTTCATTTGTAAACTCCAAGCTTACACCGGTCCCCATTTTCAAAAGAGGGAGGAAGGAGGACCCAGGA